AAGACTAGTTTTCAAATGGGATTGTAAAGAACATTCTGGGCAATCTCACCCGGCCCAAGAACGGAGCAGCTTTGTGGCCACCCTTCTGCAGTGATGCTGGAACTACAACTATCAGGACAGTTACACTGGAACCAGTTATGACATTTCTTCTTCTTCTTCTTCTGCGTTTATCCGAAGATGTAATTGCGTTGTGTCCATTTACAGCATGGCTGCGATATTTGCACCTTTTGGCCACCACATCTGACTTCTGCGGGCATTTGTTGACCGGGTTAGCCTTCCTGGTGTTATGACATTTTATCTACTAAATCTGTCTTTCCCGTTTGATGGTGGGTCTGTAGAACAAATGTAAGGGACCCACAAACAAAACTCAAATTTAGAATGCAATCATTTTTGTGATTCTCATGTTTATAATTCAAAAAGTTCTTCAATATGACTATTAAAAAATTATTGGGTCCTTGGTAGAATCTAAAAAACAAGAGGGCTGTGGAGATTTTAGCTGACTGGGAAACACTGCATTACATATTTCTAAATAATATAAAGTTAATTTGAAAGGCTAAACATGACAGGATCAACATTCCACCAGGTTTTCTTCCACATGCCTCAGTCTCTCTCTCTGCAGAATGGCTAGCTGCCTGCTGAGCCTTACACAAAGCAAGAACACTATAGCTCCTGCGACTATCCTGGAGGAGTCTCAGTAAAAGCTGAGCTCGTGAACTGAATGACACAGTCATGACCTTCAGAGTGCATGGTGAACCGTTGGCCCACTTCGCTGCAGAACCACCCAGCCCCTTTTTTCCCTAAAATAAAAGTATACGTAAAAAGACAAGTCATAAACAACTAGAAACCTCCAACATGAATTCTGAAACAAACGGCAACATTTTCAAATACCTTTAGTGAAGAAATTGACTGTATCAATACCACCATCTTCGTCTTTAATAAACTTCACAAAATCTCCCACCGTTTGAGATAGAGGCTTCAATGTGAATTCACAGGTTTCTTTTCGTGAAGGCAATGGTAAGGTCACTACAGGAAGACCATCTCTATAATACACAGTTACATCTGGAGAACAAACATCTCCTCTTAGTAAAGAAAGAACAGTAGAGTAATTAAAAAGAATATAAGTTAATCAAATTAGTTTATGTTCTTTTCAGGAGTTTGCACTTCTTCTTCAGCTATCCACTTTTGCTATGCATTTATTTCAGTATGGGTCACAAACAGGACGATCTTTACATGTACCCAATCGATTGTCTTACAGGGTCACTTGTGGGATTTATTTTCTTACTTACTTAGTTACTGATCTTCCACCTTCGAGTGTAGAGTTTTGCCAGAGAGATTGCCAGACTTCTCTATCAGCAGTTTTCTTTCTAGCTTTGTTCCATTCCAGTCCTCTTGTCAGGTAATCTGGTAATCTGGTAATCCTAGTTTCAGCTTCATAGCAAACGGGTCACCTCTTGTCAGTTAGGGACTGTCGGATGTTGCCTTTCCAGCGTACCCTGGGTCGACCTGAAGGTCTGGTTCCCTCGTTCTTAGTATCCCATGCCTGCCATGGTGGCTGATTTTCTCCCATTCTGCTACATATCCAAACCAGATTTATTTTCTCAGACAACAAAATGTTAGAGAACTCTTGTGAGACATGATCTGGAGTTTGTTTTGATGCACCACAAACAAAACAAGTTAAAAGCAGAACAGCTGAAATAAAGCAGCATTTCACAGAATAAAAAATATTCCTCTAAAGATCTTTGTCAACTGAGGTAAGCAACAGATTTCTAGAGAGGTAAATATAGACAATATTGAGGTATGAAAGTGAATCATACACAAGTAGCCAATTAAGTGTAAATGTAGGCAGAAGCTGCAGAGGTGTGGTGTACAGAAAAATGAGACCACTATCATAAGAAAAAACTGAAATGAAGATATCTTAAAACCAAGTAACTAAGACAGAAATTACCATCTGATAGAGGAAAAGATCATCTGCATTCTGTAGGCAATGTCAAGAGAACAGGAAACTATACATTGCCATGACAGTGTGAAAGTTAAAGGAGAGACAGAGAGGGTCCAATACAGATGAGAGATGCTGGGACAGTCTGACCTCATACTAAGGACACAGAGAGATACTAGCTACTCTGACGTCATGGCAAGGACACACACAGATACTGGATAGTTTGACATTATGGCAAGGGCACACAGAGATACTGGACAGTTTGACATCATGGCAAGGGCACACAGAGATACTGGACAGTTTAACATCATGGCAAGGACACACAGAGATACTGGACAGTTTGACATCATGGCAAGGACACAGAGATACTGGACAGTTTGACATCATGGCAAGGACACAGAGATACTGGACAGTTTGACATCATGGCAAGGACACAGAGAGATACTGGACAGTTTGACATCATGGCAAGGACACAGAGAGATACTGGACAGTTTGACATCATGGCAAGGACATACAGAGAGATACTGGACAGTTTGACATCATGGCAAGGACACACAGAGATACTGGACAGTTTGACATCATGGCAAGGACACACAGAGATACTGGACAGTCTGACCTCATGGCAAGGACACACAGAGATACTGGACAGTCTGACCTCATGGCAAGGACACACAGAGATACTGGACAGTCTGACCTCATGGCAAGGACACACAGAGAATCTGGACAGTCTGACCTCATGGCAAGGACACACAGAGATACTGGACAGTCTGACCTCATGGCAAGGACACACTGAGATACTAAACAGTCTGACCTCATGGCAAGGACACAGAGATACTGGACAGTCTGACCTCATGGCAAGGACAAAGAGAGATACTGGACAGTCTGACCTCATGGCAAGGACACACGGAGATACTGGACAGTCTGACCTCATGGCAAGGACACACAGAGATACTGGACAGTCTGACCTCATGGCAAGGACACACTGAGATACTGGACAGTCTGACCTCATGGCAAGGACACAGAGATACTGGACAGTCTGACCTCATGGCAAGGACAAAGAGAGATACTGGACAGTCTGACCTCATGGCAAGGACACACAGAGATACTGGACAGTCTGACCTCATGGCAAGGACACACTGAGATACTGGACAGTCTGACCTCATGGCAAGGACACAGAGATACTGGACAGTCTGACCTCATGGCAAGGACAAAGAGAGATACTGGACAGTCTGACATCATAGCAAGGATACACAGAGATATTGGACAGTTTGACATCATGGCAAGGACTTAGAGATACTGGACAGTTTGACATCATGGCAAGGACACACAGAGATACTGGACAGTTTGTCATTATAGCAAGGACACAGTGAGATACTGGACAGTTTGTCATTATAGCAAGGACACACAGAGATACTGGACAGTTTGACATCATGGCAAGGACACAGAGAGATACTGGACAGTTTGACATCATGGCAAGGACACACAGAGATACTGGACAGTTTGCCATTATAGCAAGGACACAGAGAACTGAACAGTTTGACATCATGGCAAGGACACAGAGATACTGGACAGTTTGACATACAGTTTGACATCATGGCAAGGACACACAGAGATACTGGACAGTTTGACATCATGGCAAGGACACAGAGAGATACTGGACAGTCTGACCTCATGGCAAGGACACAGAGAGATACTGGACAGTTTGACATTATAGCAAGGACACAGAGAGATACTGGACAGTTTGACATCATGGCAAGGACACAGAGATACTGGACAGTTTGACATCATGGCAAGGACACAGAGAGATACTGGACAGTTTGACATCATGGCAAGGACACAGAGAGATACTGGACAGTCTGACATCATGGCAAGGACACAGAGAGATACTGGACAGTTTGACATCATGGCAAGGAATGAGAGAGATACTGGACAGTCTGACCTCATGGCAAGGACACAGAGAGATACTGGACAGTTTGACATCATGGCAAGGACACAGAGATACTGGACAGTTTGACATCATGGCAAGGACACAGAGAGATACTGGACAGTCTGACATCATGGCAAGGACACACAGAGATACTGGACAGTTTGACATCATGGCAAGGACACACAGAGATACTGGACAGTTTGACATCATGGCAAGGACACACAGAGGTACTGGACAGTTTGACATCATGGCAAGGACACACAGAGGTACTGGACAGTTTGACATCATGGCAAGGACACAGAGAGATACTGGACAGTTTGACATCATGGTAAGGACACAGAGATACTGGACAGTTTGACATCATGGCAAGGACACAGAGAGATACTGGACAGTTTGACATCATGGCAAGGACACACAGAGATACTGGACAGTTTGACATCATGGCAAGGACACACAGAGATACTGGACAGTTTGACATCATGGCAAGGACACACAGAGATACTGGACAGTTTGACATCATGGCAAGGAATGAGAGAGATACTGGACAGTTTGACATCCTGGCAAGGAATGAGAGAGATACTGGACAGTTTGACCTCATGGCAAGGACACAGAGAGAGATACTGGACAGTTTGACATCATGGCAAGGACACAGAGAGAGATACTGGACAGTTTGACATCATGGCAAGGACACAGAGAGAGATACTGGACAGTTTGACATCATGGCAAGGAATGAGAGAGATACTGGACAGTTTGACATCATGGCAAGGAATGAGAGAGATACTGGACAGTTTGACATCATGGCAAGGACACAGAGAGAGATACTGGACAGTTTGACATCATGGAAAAGAAGTAAGTCTATATTTGAAATGAACAACAGTACTTGCGACCAATGGCTGAGAACAGTTAGGACTTCTAATGCCTCTGTAAGTACAAAGGATGATGAATAACACTTGTTTACTAAATAATGAAACCTATTATTAATCATGTTAACATAGGAAGATAAATCCTAAAGTAACAACACCAGTTAACAGAGTAAGATAAACCACTGTCAGTAACACCTGTTAATCACACTGTTAATAACACCTGTTAACAGCATAATACTGATAACAACACCTGTTAACAGTAACTGAACAATACCTGTTTTATGCAAAGTCTGAGTACTAGATGGACGCATAAATTGAGATTTTATATGGCCTTTCAACAACAGTACCTGTGAAATGAACAACAAATACAAAAGGAGGGAATAAGTGAATGTTGTTGATTTTTAAATTACCAACATTTGTAAGCTACTCAAGTAATTTACACAAGAAATATGACTAATAGTAGTGATCTGAGAGTTCTAATGTAAATAAAAACAACTGCATGAATAATGATCAAACAAATAAACATTAAATTTATCTATTTGCCTTATGGTAAAGTCTCTTTCTGCAGAGTAGCTGCTCAACTATGACTGCATAGTACAAAGCAAAAACTCCATAGCTCTAGCAATTACTGCATGTAAAATAAATACATGCATTCACAAACCAAATGTGTGTGCCATTATGTGTCTGTGTGTGTGTGTGTATCTGTGTCTGTGAGTGTGGCTTTGTGTGTATCTGTGTGTGTCTCTATCGGTGTGTCTAATATATAATGCCTGCGTGTCTTTGTGTCGGTTTAAGTGTCTGCGTGTATGTCTGTGTGTATGTGTGAGTGTTGCGTATGTCTATGTGTGTGTCTGTGTGTTTCCCATCTTTCCGCCTGTAGGAGCTTCTCTCCTTAACCATCTGCCAGCCACTGAAAGGTTCTGGTTTGCTATGCCCTGCCTGCGTGTGTATATGTGTTTGTGTGTGTGCCTGTGTGGGTTTATGTCTGTGTGCGCCGGTGTGTGTGTTTGTATTGGTCTTTTTGTGCGGCTACGTGTGTGTATGAATGTGTGTTTTAGAGCGTGTGTCTGTGTGGGTGACTGTGTGTGTGAGTGTGTGTATATATGTATGTGTGTATGTATGTGTGTGTGTGTGTTCATATGTATGTGGATATATTTGTGTATTGAGTGCCTGTGTGTGTGTGTGAGTGAATGGGTTTGCATGTGTATGTGGATGTGTGTGTTCGCGCACAAGCGCGCGCACAAATTTTACCACCCATGCTTTTGTTTTTGGCTTGATATTCATAATATGCATATTATTACATGAACATAACATGCTTTATTGATGAGATACAACTGCTGTGTAAGAGATGGGGGTTTGGAAGGGCTGAATGTAAGACAGGCCTGTACGCCTAATTTGTAACCCTTTGAAAATAAAGTTTGTTCTTTCGTTCAACATAGTCCGCAACCTTAATAGTGCAAGTCAAATTACTTAGTCACTTTGCTTTGGAGATCCCCATAAGCACCAGAGATGCTGAGGCCATCTCACAACCATGTTACTTCATCTGTGCTACATGAGACACAAAAATATAAGACATGAGAAACCCATCCTAAGCAAAACTCACAAACTTTAGAGTAGAATGCAAACAACCATTCTGTCACAGAGACATCTCATAAATACCAGGAATGCAGTCATTCAAAAAAAAAAAAAAGAATGTCACCTCCAAGTATGTGGTGGTTATAGAAAATATGAGGCACAAATTCAATTATGATCATGTATCAGATCTGTCTCACTCCAACCATTGGCCAAGCCATCTGGGTATTTTCTGATTTTCTCTTGCTCTTTTGCCATCAATCTTGACAGCTGTTATGAAGTTATTTAGTCCATTCCCATTGATATGTCCAAAAACACTGTCTACATCTGATTGCTCTAATCAGTTTACGGTATTCATCTGTCTTGAAGAGAACTTCCAGGCTTGCTTTTCTATCATTCCATGACATTCTTCTCACAATCCATTATCTCCCTGTGAGTAGATGTTTTTCAACTTTTTCAACTTCTTCTTCTTTCATTCGCTTGAAATAGATTACCTATATCTTCAATGTTATCTCTACTATTTACTTCACTGTCTGTTGTAATTTAATCAGCGACCCATAAAGTCTGGCTTGCACCAATGTTTCTCTCTGGTAAAATTTGTGCCTTGATATGTTGTATTTGGGACAGTCTTGGAGGACGTGATCTGTTGTCTCAGGTGCTAATCCACATCTACACAAGACTGATTCGCCAGTCTTAAAATGTGTGCACATGTGGCTGTGAAATCAACTGTATCCTGTTCTGAGGCGTAGAAAATTTACTAGCTCTGGTCTGTCCAATTTATGATAATCATCTTTTGTCGGTTTTAGTGGCTTCCTGATTGATCTGATTATTCTCTTCTCCTGTTGATAAGAGTCTGTTACACCAGGTTGTTCTTTGCTTGCACCCTCCTGAGCTAGTTTATCAGCTCTTTCATTTTCAGATGCTATCCACTGCATAGTTACATTACACCGGTTACCTAGTTTGGAGAGTAGTTTCCGTATACCAGTACCACGTAATTTTCCAGTCTGTTTTTCAACTCACCTGTTTATTGTTAATTTCTCACATGCATTTACTAGCACAGGTTCTATATAGTGCTTGACACTAATTTTCTAACTGTAACTGATATCTTTCCATTGTTATCTTTTGTATCTTTTGTCACTTTTACCATGGGGATTCTTCTGCAATGCATCTCATACCTGATGCTTTGACATCAAATGATGGAGTCTAAAAACAAAACTACAACCGCGAGAGTGCCCTGTTATGACTTTGCCACAGAGACACACCCCCTTCCCCACTTCCCATCTGTAACAGGAATTACCAAGCTGTCACCTTTCCGTCATTCCAGATGAAAAATTTCTTGTGTGTTAGAGGGAGGGCATGGGAAATACAGCCCACAGCGACAGTAATGAAGGTCAGAAATCAATGTTCTTCCTTTCCACAGAACAAAACCTAGGCAGTATTATAACGACCACGTGTTGTCTTGCAGCACATTCCTTCTATCCATCTGCTTGTTTACTCCAAAGAAAAGATAATACCAATACGTTTGGGACAAAAGCATGCTGCAGAAGCTGCCGGATCAGTAGAGCATTGCTGTCTGTCTGTCCGCAAGTAGGAGATTCCTTGTTAGAACATCTGCCAATCAAGTCTAAGGGCTTGGTCTGCAGGCATAACATTGTTTTCATTGAAATTTCCTCATCCTAGGTGTTGCCAAGCGATATGAAGGGTGTATTGCCTCCTAACTCTACAAGGTGACTGATTATGCTTCACTCATATATACACAAAAAAGTTCACCAAGACAAACTTCTATCGACTAATTGGGTTTCCTACCTGAGAGCACTAAATTAACACAGTGCACATAGTCACATCGTACCACTAACACCGATAACAGTCAGCAGTCAACCACTTCAACAATACAGAAAGAGTTATTTCTATAATCGTGCATCAGTCTATTTATTGGGATGAAACACAGTATGAAGATGAAAATAAACTGATTATACAGGAGGGCTGTCCATCTAATGCTCCACCTATACAAACTGATATGCTTCCAAGGCGGTGTCACATGAAGAGGGAAAACCTAGCCTCGAATTGAGTTCATAACATACGCCTTCGGCCTACTAGCCCACTCTTGTGGTCACCAGTAGCCTTAATGAGCATTTCGGTTGTGCGCACACACTTTGGGTCACCAATAGCCTATACAAAATGACTGACTAGAGACTCTACCCTAGGCACACCAAGTCTCCTGACACAGTTGAAACAATATTCTTACAGGGGACGACATGATCATGTCCTCACAGTTCAGCCACAACTCACCGCCCGACTTTTTTTCATCATAGTGGCAAATAACACGTTGGGCTCTCAACGCCTTGTCTCCACAAAATACATGCAATGAAAGCGTTTCGACTCATACATCAAATCTAATAAACAAGCTTAACTCTTTGAGTCTCAGGGGTTTTAGCATCACAGGCCCAGGGGGTAGTAAAGAAAGTAATAAAATCGGCGCATCAAGCGTTCATTGGGCTTCTAGGTAGGAACCTATGAACGTATGATGTGTTCCTTGGGACTCAAAGAGTTAAATTTCACTGGACTAAAATGATACACACAACTACTGCTAAAAATTCAGACATCTGGACATGCGTCCGCCCGATCTGAACGACTGAGAGACACTATTCTGGGCAAGCACAGTTTCCCTCCTGCTCGGTCTCTGGCCCCTGCATGGCTCTCAATAAGCCCGTGAAAACCGCTGTTAGTCGTGAAACTCCAGAAAAACCTCTTTCACAACTGTGTGCATAGCGTAGACCTTTTGCACTCGTCTCTCACCTCAAGCAAAATGAACCGTTTGCACACGTCTCTGTTACCATCATCATCCAGTGCCCTGCCTTTACGACTGGCGTAGTAGGCAACCACTCCTCTGCTTCTGGTACTATTGACCAGCAAGTGAATTCAGCACGCAAAACTAGGATAAGGCTAACTATCAATTCTTAACTTAGCTGCAATCATTTTTTTCTTGATACTTATTACCCTTCTGCTTTCCCCCTCCATACAACAGTCCATTACATCCTGCTTCCATATGAACCACGTGATCATAGAAAAATATGAGACTGAGACATACACCAAATGATGGAATCAAGAACCAGACATACAAGCTTCAAAGTATCTTCTGCTTCTTCTTTGTTCACCGGCTGTAAGCTCCGGTGGAAAGTCCTGGTTGTTCATTCATTTGGACTTTGGCTTTGTACTAGGACCTTAGTTTTGCGTGTACATCTGTTTTACTGGCTTATTTGTGTGCAGTTATTTGGTTGTTTCTTGCTGCTCAGGCAGATGCAATCCAACTTTGAAGGAAGTCCCCAATTAGTCAACTTCTACAACATGCTAATTGGGGAGATAGTGGGTCTATTCTAGTTTTCCTCCACAATGGAGACGGACTCTCATGAGGAATCTTCAAAGTATAAGTCAAACAGCCTAACCGCTTCACTACCAAGACTGTTAAGGCATTCACACAACCGCATTACTCACATGTGTGCCTTGTGATCATAGACAATATGAGCCAAACATGATTTAACCGCATATGAAACAGCATTACTACTTTCAACTCATTCAAACATTAACAATCTCAGCACAGGTTACTGCTCCTGTGGGAGACAAGACAGCTTAAATGGATCAGAAACCCAAACCTAATGAGATCTGACAGTACAGGCAAACTGAATAAAACAGCTTTAACTATCTCATGTTTCTCAATTATATCTAGTTCTTCTGTCTAGGGCAGAAGAAATCGATAGAGAAAGAAACAGAAAGAACA